CCATGGACTTCTACATCACGAAGTACCAGGGCAAGATGATGGAGTCCATGACGCCGCTCTTCCAGTCTATGCTCACCGGCATGCAGCGTCTGGAGCAGCAGGAGAGGGACGAGAAGGAGGAGGAAGCCCGGAAGGTGCTCAGTGAGGGCGGCGCTGATGGCGAGGACCAGACGCTGGCCAAACGGGGCCGGACGCGCGAGGATCTCGCTCGCCGCGCTCGGCGGGTCTGTATCCGCCTGGCGTCGATGGCGAACCGGTGCTTCTGGCTCTCCACGACGGAGGTGGCCGTGCATATCCTCACAGGCGGCGACTGCCTCCAGTCGCACCACAATGTGCGGCTCTTCACGAGACAACTACAGTGGGCCTGCCAGCAGTGCAAACGCTTGCTAAACCATGAAGGTTCGGGCGAGGAGACGCATAATGATCAGGTGCCAATACAAGCAGTCCGCATCCAGATCCCTGACGCCGACAACGAGGAGGAGGACGCAGCAGGTGACACCAGCGGTGCTCCTCAGCCTCCTGGAGACACTCCTGCTGGTGATGAGCAAGGTGGCGGTGCGGAGTGCGAGGACATGCACGTGTGCACCACCAGCACGAACACGGCCGACGACTACGCCCACAGAGGCCCTCGCCTGCAGACCATGCCGTACTACGTCTACAGGATGTACGTCCGGCGAGTCCTGAAGCCGAGCCGGGTCAAAGCTTCTGGACCGCGATTCTTCGCCTTCGAGAGCCACTACGTCTTGGCTCCGCGGTGCATGCAGGAGGTCCGGTTGACGCGGAGTGACGTCCCCACCATCGATGGCTTCCAGTGCCCGACCTGGGCACAGGACCCCGAGCAGAACTCGCTCTTCAAGGCCCTCCTCTTCACGCCTTGGGCGTGCGAGTGTCCCCTCTCTTGTGGCTGCGTTACTCAGTACAGCCATATGCTGAGGAACTGCGACTGCCCCGCCGTGCGCCCATACTCGTTCGAGCGGGCGTGGCGGCTTCGGTGCGCGGAGATCCACGTGTTGGCAGCGCGCGCAGACTCCAGGAGCCGCCTGGCCCGCAAGAGGCTCGTGCTCGCGGACACGACCCTCTTCTCCGAGCTGAAAGAGCCCCGGGCGAACCTCGAGGAGGGCGAGCTGGTGCTCCTCAGCCTAGCGCACTTCGCAAGGTCCCAGCTGGCGCGGCGCATGCCAGCGGAGGCGGCACGGCGCATCCTCGCCTTCAGTGACCACCACTGCCGGTGGCACGAGGAACAGTGCACCCTGGCGGAGTTCTGCGCGCACGTGGCGCGAGACGTGCTGGCGCACGTGGACCTCGCGGCGGAGGCGCGGGTTAAGCCTCGGCCAGCAACGACTGCACACCTCGAGGCGGATGAAGACTCCGCGAGCGATGCCGAAGGGCTCAAGGGGCGAGTCCCGCTGGAGCTCGTTGACGTGGGTGGAGGCGGCGGCAGCGACGTAGAGGAGGACGTGGAGGACGCCGAGATTACCGAGATCTCCCGGTTTCCGCTGCGGGACCACGTCAGAGCAACCGAGCTGGCCCTACAGCAAGACCAACTGCAGCGCTTGGACCAGAAGGGCCGCCTCAGCTACGCCGATAAGCAGTTGAAGAACCTCGACCGAGCGTACAGCGGCATGCTGCAGCCCAGCTTTGCACTGCCAGCCAGCAGCGGCGCGCGGGAACATCAGGGCACGCGGCTGGACGAGACCTTTTCTGACATGCTCGCCCTACAGCGGCAAAGCATTGCGCTCCAAAAGAAGCAAGCGAGCCCGGATGGAGAGATCTTGCCCGATGCTGCGGACGACTGGCTCCCCAGCGGTGCTCCTCAGCCTGCTGCCGAGGACGCCCAACCAGAACTCGTTCCGCAGCTCTTGGCCATGCAGGGCCCGGCGGCTGTTGCGTGGAAGCTCGTCACTGATACCCACTGCACGGAGGAGCAGATTGACGCGGTGGCGTTGTTTGCGTTGTCTCTGCAGAAATGTTTTGACGGCAGACCAGACAAGACAACGCATCTCCTCCCCGTGGCGTCCGCGACAGGCAACCGCAGAGCGATCTGGCTCGGTGGAGGCGGTGTCGGCAAGACGCGCACCCTCTCCAAAGTGGTGGAGCCGATGGCCATCACTTACTTCGGCGAGCAGGGGTACCTCGGCAAAGCGCAGTCCAACCACGCCGCACACAACCTCGGCCCGCGCGGCAGGACCATGCATTCCTCCAATGGCCTGCTCATGTCGGATTCCATGCAGACAGCCAGGCTGCGCTTGACGCCACAGACGCAGAAAAAGCTGGATCGCCTCACAGGCACACTCGGCGTCGACGTGATCGATGAGCTGGGTGCTGTGCCGGGGCCTTTGCTGCATGCAGATGCACTGCGCACGACCTACGGCAGGGCGTTGCGCTACAACCTGGACCCCACGAAGTACATGCGCCCGCAGGAGACGTGGGGACGCATGCCTGTGAAGATCTTGTGCGGAGACTTCTACCAGTTGCCGCCAGTCCCCGCCACCGCTTCCCTGCTGGCGCCTCACGCGGGCCAATCCTACGAACACCAACAGGGTAGGAAGTTGCTCGCCGACATCGAGTACGTCATCGATTTCGTGCAGATGCAGCGCTTTACAGACCCGTTGCAACTCGAGGTTCTCCACGCCATGAGAACTCCAGGCGGAAAAAAGATCTCTGACGAGAGCTGGCAGGCGATCGTCAAAACAGAGGTCGTTAGCTCTAGCGGTGCTGCTCAGCCTGCTGCCAGCAGCAGCGAAGCCGCTCAGCCACCTCAGTGGGGCCCTCGGTTGCGTGCAGCACGAGGCTGGTACGAGTCGGCCTATGAGTGGCGCATCGTCTCTTACGCCATGCATGCACAGGCCAAGCTTGATGCGCACGATGCTGGCCAGCTGCTCTTTTACGTCCCAGCAATCGACAGACCAGCTGCGCGCCTCGCGAAGCCTGATTTCGACGAGATGCGCGCGGAGCCCAACATCGGCGCTACCGCAAAAATGCCGGGGCTGCTGCCGCTCTTCGTTGGCATGGAGGTCATCCTGACAGAATCCGTCTTGCCGCCGAAGTATGTCCGTGGCGCGCCAGGCAAAGTGGTAGGCATAGAGCTGCACGCTCTGGAGCCTCCGGTGGAGGGCCGCCCGTCCATTGTCTCGGACGGTGTGGTCGTACTCTACTACATGCCAAAGGCCGTCTATGTCAAGATCGATGACAGCGATGAACTTTTCTTGAAGGCCGCGCCGGTGACAGCTGGCAGTGCTTCTCAGCCTGCCGGCCCCGACCTGCGCGGAGTGCTCGCGATCACCCCGCAGGCGCGCCCCTGGAAGTTCAAAGCGAAGACAGGTGGCCCGGCCATCGCGGTGTCCAGGACGCAGTTGACCGTGCTGCCCAAAAAGCAGGGGACTCTGCATGGCGTCCAGGGCAAGACGACGGACCCAGGCTTCATCGTGCACTGGACGTTTCCGCCAGGACTCAAGAAGGAGTCCATTTGGCTTGCCTACTACGTCAGCCTGTCGCGCCCCAGAAGCTTCAACCAACTCTTGAGCCACGGCTTGCCTGACCGGAGCATCATCGAATCCGGCCCCCCGGAACAGATCGCCAAGGCCTTCGCCGAGCTCTTCACGGACAAGATTGCCGCGACGAAGATCGCTTGCGCGAAGGCCCGACAGCAACTGGGATGGCCTGCGCGAGCTTGAGGAGCCATGAGATGCAGGTTGCGTTGTGGCGGTGCTGTTCAGTCTGTCCGTCTGCATTCGCGTGGTGCTTCTCAGCCTGCATGCGCGTGGTGCTTCTCAGCCTGCGCTCGTGTGCAGCTGTGCGCGGTGAGCCTGCACGTGTCGCGGAATGCTTTTCAGCCTGCGCGTGTCTGCAATGCTTTTCAGCCTGCACGCTTTGCAGCTTCTCCGCTTCGCACGCCGCTCCTCAGCGCGGTCCTCTGAAAAAAAGGACAGTCATCATCTCATCGTCGCACTCATCATCGCACTCATCATCATCATTCATTGCCAGCGTTGATAGCAGTGTCTCGTTTTTACACGACTCGCACTGTTGATAGCAATGTCTCGTTTTGACACACTTCCAGCGTTGATAGCAGTGTCTCCTTTTTACACGACTCCCACCATTCACAGCGAAGTTTCGTTTTGACACACTGCGAGCGTTGATAGCAGTGTCTCCTTTTTACACGACTCCCACCATTGATAGCAGTGTCTCGTTTTGACACATTTCCAGCGTTGATAGCAGTGTCTCCTTTTTACAGGACTCCGAACTACAACTACTACTTCACTGTTACCACTGTTTCATCTTTCCTGCTCTTATTGCTAATACTACTGCGACTGTTACTGCTGCTGCATGCCTCCAGCTATGCTACTACATATCGATGTTAGGTTGCTTTGCCGGGATAATTGGGTTCGCGTGGGACCCTCGAAGGCCTACTGGAGCCCTCTGGGCGGCCTTTGGTCCGGGGCCGCTCGGGGGTGCCTCGAGGCCATCTTGGAAGCGCTATTGGACCGCCTTGCCACTGGGCCATCTTGGGGCCCTGCTGGGTCGTCTCGGCACCCTGCTGCGCCGTCTTTGGGCCCCCCATCGGGGGCCCCCCTTCGAGCCGCCTTGGGTCTATCTCGGGGGCTTCTCGGGCCGTCCTGGGCGCCCCGAGCCCGAAGAAGCGAGCATGCGGAAACCGTTCGAACATCAAAAGGCGATCCGTGGTTCTTGCTCTGACGGCCCTCTGAAGGGTCCCCTTCGAGCAGTCTTGGAGCGGGCTGGGGGCTCCTGGAGTCGTCGCGAGGTCATCTTGACCCTCCTTGGGGCGTTCTTGAGCTTTCCTGTAGCTCTCTGGGGCCGTATTGGAGCTCTCTGGGGCGGTCTAGCGCCTCCCTTGGTACGCCTGAGAGCTCTCCCAGGCCAAGACGGCACCGCCTCTGTGGCGGAGTCGCGGAAGTACCGCGGCCCGCGAAAACTTTATGGGCCCTTCTGGCACGCATAATGCCCCGTATTGTAATATAGATGACGTCGGGCGCCAACTTCGCCTCCCACATCTCGCTGAGCAGCGCAAGAGCTGGCTGCCACTGCTCGGCCTTCTCGCACGCGCTGATACCAGCGCTGAAACTGATGACGTTGGGCTCCAGCTTCCTCTCCCAAATTTCGCTGGACAATGCCAGCGCCCGCTGCCACTGTTCGCCCTTCCCGCACGCGCTGATCCCAGCGCTGTAGCTGACTAGGGCTGACCCGTGGACTCCGTCCACGACATCTTTCTGGAATGGTTCTCGGAGGAACGGCGCAGATTGTACCGAAAATCTACAAACACGGCGGCGGCTCGGGCGGCGGCAGCGAGACCGCGCCTTCGTGTCCGAGCTCTTGCAGCGCTGCAGCAGCTTGGCCCAGCGCACTGCTCGTTCACCCCCCTCCTATTGAGGACAGTTTCGAAGTCTCTCGGGGATGTGCGTCGAAGTCGAAGCCCATCTGAGGCGTCTCAGGAGCGCTCGGGGAAGGGCTCGGGAGGCCATCGGGGAAAGCCACCGAAAGCGCCGGGGAGGCTCGCAAGGATCTACAGGGAGGGCCCAAGAGAGCTTCAAGAAAATTTGAAATCCAGTGAACTCTTAAGAGAAACCGCTGTTGGGTCGGCCATCACCTCTGGGCGCGCCTTGATGGTGCGCTCCAGTCGCATCACCGCCAACGGGAGGGTTTGTTCGCCATGTCCCATTCTGTTCGCCCAGAGGGTCAGTGGAGGCCTTCGGGCGAACAGAACGGGGCAGGGCAAGGAATGGGGAAGACATATCCGAATCTCCTGGGCCCCCCAGATGCTCGTCCGAAGAATGCGGAGAGGTCCCAGGGTCATATCAATTGGCTGCTGTCCCAGGGGTCCGGTCTGCTTGGCCCGAAGAGTTTGCCAAGGCCCCTGGGGGAACAGAATGGCACAGCATATCGGGCAAAGGGGGGCGGTAGCTGGCCTGTCAGACCCGGCGTTCGTCTTCTGCCCAAGCGGCGCGGGGCCCACGGGCCCCAGGGTTGGCGTCCCGCTGGGATTCCTCTTGTTCGCCCACAGGGTTGGAGGAGGCCTCCAGGCGAACAGAATGGGGCAGGACAATGAATGTGGGAGACTTGTCGCAAGCTCCCAGCCCCCCCAAGTGTGCGCCCGAAGGGTGTGGGGCCGCGTTGGCTCCCTCAAAGGGCCGTCTTGGAGCCGTCTAGGCCCGTCTTGAGGGCGCCGTTTGCCCTAATGGGGCCGTCTTGGTTCGTCGTGGGCCCCTCATGGGCGCGTCCGTCGGCCGTCCTGGGCCCATCGGGGTCCCCGTGGGGCTGTCTTGGAGCCGTCTGAGGCCGCCTTGGAGTCGTCTTGGGCCCCTCCTGTGCGCCTCCTTGGGCCGTCCTGGGCCCAGCAGGGGCCGTGTTGGCACCCTCTTGGGGCTGTCTTGGAGCCGTCTTGAGCCGTCGCAGCGCGCCTTGGGTTGTGCTGGGTCCGTCTTGGCCCGTCTTGGGGCCTTCCTGGGCGGTTCCTCGGACCCTCCTGGGACTTTCTGGGGCCTCTTGGTGCATCGGACCGCCGAAACGGCGGGAAACGCAAAGGGTGTAACAGTAAACAATGGAAAATTAACGATTTTTGCCAGCTGGGACTCTCTTGCCATCTTGGCCCGTCTTGAGGCCCCGAACGGGCGCGTCCTTGGGCCGTCCTGGGCGCACCCTCCTGGGACCGTCTTGGAATCGTCTTGGGCCGTCTTGAGCGCGCCTTGGGCCGTCCTGGGCCGGTCTGGGGCCGTGTTGGCACCCTCGCGGCGAGGAAGCTCGGAGGCGGGCTCGAGGCCTCTTCGGGGCCATTTTGGAAGCTGTTGGGGCCTCTGTAGGGGCCTCGTTTGGGCTCCTTGGGAGCCTCCTGGGGCCTCTTCGGGGGATTCTTGGCGGCCCCTTGGGGCCTCTTGGGGGCCTGTTTGGGCCTCCTGGCGCCCTCTTGGGGCGGAAGGCTCGGATTTTCGGTCCGTGGTCCCCCTCTTGGCCCCCTCTTGGGCCTGTCTTCGGGCCCTCGTGGGCCGTCTTGAGCGTCTCTTGGGTCGTCTTGGGGCCCTCTTGGGCTGTCTTGGGGCGCTCTTGGAAGCCTCTTGGGCCGTTCTGGGGCGCTCTTGGAGGCCTCTTGGGCCGTCTTCGAGCGTCGGAAAGCGGAAAAGGCGAGAAGGCCAAAATCCTTCCAAAACCGTCGTAAAGCGGACGATTTTGAGGCCCAAAACCGTCCAAAACCTCCTGAGGCGGTCCCCTCGTCCGCCCCCCTCGCTTCGAAGCAGTTTTTAAGCCCCGTGGCACCTCTTGGGGATCTCTTTTGGGCTCCTGGGGGCCTCTTGGGCCTCCACTGGATTCGCTGCCCTCGGTCGGCAATCGTCGATCCTACGACGACTCTCCCCAACGGAGAAACATCGAAGGCCCTCGGAGCGTCCAACATTGTTCTTTTGTGCCTTCGATATGCCGGTCGCCTCTCGTCCGCTCCCCCCCTCCTGGAAGCAATTCTGAGGCCACTTAGGGCTTCGTGGGGGCCGTTTGGGGATCTCTTGGGGCGTTTTTGCCTGCGATATGCCTGTCGCCTCTCGTCCGCTCCCCCGCTCCTGGAGGGAATTCTGAAGGCACTGAAGGCTTCGTGGGGGCCGTTTCGGAGCCTCTTCGGCCTTCGTTTGGGCCTCCCGGGGGGGCTCTTAGGGCCCTCTCGGGCTGTCTTGGGTGCCTCTTGGGCCGTCTTGGGGCAGTCTGAGACCCGCCTCGGCGCCTCTTGGGCTGTCGTGGGCCGTCTTGGGCCGCTCCTGGGGCCGTCTTGAGTGCCTCTTGGGCCGTCTTGGACGCCTCCTGGGCCGTCCTGGGGCCGTCCTGGGGCGTCTTGGGACCGTCTGGGGGCCCTCCTGGCCCGTCTTGGGGCTCTCTTGGGGTCCTCTTCGGCCGTCTTGGAGCGGTCGGGGGGGCTTCTTGGGCCGTCTTGGAGCGTCGGGAAGCCGACGAGGCGAGGAGGCCGAAAACATCGAAAAACACGGGTAGAAATCGACGATTTCTGTCGCTCGGAGCCCTCTTGGGAGGCCTCTTGGGAGGCCTCTTCGGGCGTCTTGGACGCCTCTTGGGCCGCCTGGGGCGAATCTCGGGCGTCTTGGGCCCATCTTTAAGCGTGCCGGGGCCCTCCGGGGCCGTCTTGGGGGCCTCTTGGGGCCCCCTTGGCATGTCTTGGGGCCTCCCGGGCGGCCCGGGGCCAGCCCGGGGCGATTATTGGTCACTTGATCCTGCGCCCTTCTGGTACGCACTGGGCCCTGCAATGTAGTAGAGACTAGGGCTGACCCGTGGACTCCGTCCACGACATCTTTCTGGAATGGTTCTAGGAGGAACGGCGCAGATTGCACCGAAAATCTACAAACACGGCGGCGGCTCGGGCGGCGGCAGCGAGACCGCGCCTTCGTGTCCGAGCTCTTGCAGCGCTCCAGCAGCTTGGCCCCGGCGCACTGCTCGTTCACCCCCTCCTATTGAGGGCAGTTTCGAAATCTCTCGGGGATGTGCGTCGAAGTCGAAGCCCATCTGAGGCGTCTCAGGAGCGCCTGGGGAAACGCTCGGGAGGCCATCGGGGAAAACCACCGAAAGCGCCGGGGAGCGCAAGGATATACAGGGAGGGCCCAAGAAAACTTAAAGAAAATTTGAAATTAAATAAAATCTTAAAAGAAACCGCTGTTGGGTCGGCCATCACCTCCGGGCACGCCTTGATGGTGCGATCCAGTCGCATCGCCGCCAACGGGAGGGTTTGTTCGCCAAGTCCCATTTTGCTCGCCCAGAGGGTCTGTGGTCCGAAGAGTGCGGAGAGGTGCCTGGGTCATATCAATTGGCTGCTGTCCCAGGGGTCCGGTCTGGTTGGCCCGAAGAGTTTGCCAAGGCCCCTGGGGGAACAGAATGGCACAGCATATCGGGCAAAGGGGGGCGGTAGCTGGCCTGTCAGACCCGGCGTTCGTCTTCTGCCCAAGCGGCGCGGGGCCCGCGGGCCCCAGGGTTGGCGGCCCGCTGGGTGTCCTCTTGTTCGCCCACAGGGCTGGAGGAGGCCTCCAGGCGAACAGAATGGGGCAGGACAATGAATGTGGGAGACTTGTCGCAAGCTCCCAGCACCCCCAAATGTTCGCCCGAAGGGTGTGGGGTCGTGTTGGCTCCCTCAAATGGCCGTCTTGGAGCCGTCTAGGCCCGTCTTGAGGGCGCCGTTTGCCGTGATGGGGCCGTCTTGGTTCGTCGTGGGCCCCTCATGGGCGCGTCCGTCGGCCGTCCTGGGCCCGTCGGGTTCCTTGTTGGCACTATCTTGGGGCTGTCTTGGAGCCGTCTGGGGCCGTGAGGGGGCCGCCTTCGAGTCGTCTTGGGCCCCTCCTGTGCGCCTCCTGGGCCGTCCTGGGCCCAGCAGGGGCCCCGCTGGCACCCTCTTGGGGCTGTCTTGGAGCCGTCTTGAGCCGTCGCAGCGCGCCTTGGGTTGTGCTGGGGCCGTCTTGGCCCGTCTTGGGGCCTTCCTGGGCGTTTCCTCGGACCCTCCTGGGACTTTCTGGGGCCTCTTGGGGCATCCGACCGCCGAAATGGCGGGAAACGCAAAGGCTGTGACAATAAACAATGGAAAATAAACGATTTTTGCCAGCTGAGGCTCTCTTGTCATCTTGGCCCGTCTTGAGGCCCCGACTGGGCGCCTCCTTGGCTCGTCCTGGGCCTATCTGTGGCCGTGTTGGCACCCTCCTGGGACCGTCTTGGAGTCGTCTTGGGCCGTCTTGAGCGTGCCTTGGGCCGTGCTGGGCCCGTCTGGGGCTGTGTTGGCACCCTCGTGGAGCCGTCTTGGAACCGTCTTGGGCCGTCTCCAGCGCGCCTTGGGCCGTGCTGGGGCGGTCTTGGCCTGTCTTGGGGCCCTCCTGGGAGCCTCCTGGGGGCGTTTTGGGTCCTTTTGGGGTGGCCTCGAAGTCTTCCAGGGCTGCTTCGAGTGTCCGAAAGCTGAATTGGCGGCAAGCGGGAAATCTTTGGAAAAGCCTAGGACAACAAACGATTTTGACCTCTCGGGACCCTCTTATGAGGCCTTCTGGAGGCCTCTCGAAGCGCCTTGGCGCTCGCTTGGGTCGTGCCGTGCCCATTTGAGGGGCCTGTGGGGCTTCCCGGAGCGTGCAAGGACCGTCTGGGGCCCTCAGTGTGGGGCCCTCATGGCGCCATCTGGGGAGCCTCGAAGGGTCCTGGAGCGCCCGAAGGGCTCCCGGAGCGCTTCGGGGCGCTCTGGACCGCTCCCCAAAAGACAAGCATGGAAGGGCCCCAGAGCGTTGAAAACAGCTCTTGTGGGCACTCGCCTCTCGTCCGACCCCCCTCTTTTAGAGGCAAAGTGGAAGCCACTTAGGGCCTCTTGGGGGCCGTTTGGGAGCATCTTTCCGGCCTCCCGGGAATCCCTTGGGTCCCTCTTGGGCCGTCTTGAAAGCCTCTTGGGCCGTCTTGGGGCCGTGTGGGGCCGTCTTGGGCTGTTATTGACCGCTCTTTGGGCTGTCTTGGTTGCCTCTTGGGCCGTCTAGGGCGTCTCTGGAGCGTTCGCGGGCACGCCTCGGGCCGTCTGGGGGCCCTCCTGGGGTGCTCTGGGGGCGTCTTGGGGCGATCGGGAAGGCCTGTATAGCCATCGGTGAAAACGAAAAGTGCGAGCATATCAAAAAATTACGTTTTCCGAAGGGAAGGGGGCAATTTTTGCCTCTTGGGTCCCTCCTGGGGGTCCTCCTGGGCCGCCTTGGGAGCCTCTTGGCCTGCTTTGGAGGCCTCTGGGGCCGACCTGGGGCTCGGTTGGGTCCCTCTTGGTCTGTCCAGGCGCCCTCGTGGGCGTTTCTGAGCCGTCCCGGAGCGGCCTGGGTGCCGCATTAGGGCCTCCTGGGGCTCTCCGGGGCTGTCTGGGGTGCCTCTTGGGCTGTCTTGGGGCCGTCTGGGGCCCTCTTGGGCGCCTCTGGGGCCGTCTCGGGGCAGTGGGGGGGCCGTCTTTAGCGCCTCTGGAGCCGTCTTGGAGCTGTCTCGGAGCCGTCTTGACTCGTTTTGGGACCGTCGCGGCGCTGTCATGGCAGCCTCTTGGGCTGCCATCGGCGCCTCAAGAGCCATCGTGGGGCCGTCTTGGGGCCGTCCAGGGGGCTTCCAGAGGCGTGTTGGGATGATCTGGAGGGCCAGTAGGGCCGTGTGGACATCGCAATGGACGAAAAGCAGTGGACCTGGAAAAAGGCTCGTTTTTCCTACGAATTTTAACGATTTGTCATTGATCTGGCCTTTGGGGGGCTCGTCCTGGAGCCGACTTGGAGCGTCTCGGGAGGACTTTTGGGCCGTCTGGTGCCTAGCTTGGGCATCTTGGAGCGCTGTGGGACCTAGTCGAAGGCCCTCTTGGGCCGTCTTGGGCGCTCTCTGGCCATCTAGTGCGTCTCGGGCCGTCGTGGGGCGACCAGGGGGGCCGGTTACGCCCCGCCAGCGCCCGCACTTCCCGCACGCACGTGTCCCTGCGATGTAGTGCAGACGACATTGGGCTCCAGCTTCGCCTCCCGCATCTCCCTGAGAAGCGCCAGAGCCCCCTGCCACTGCTCGCCTTTCTCGCACGCGCTGATCCCGGAGTTGTAGCTCACTAGGGCTGACCCCTGGACTACGTCCACGAAATCTGCACGAAAAGGCTGAAATTGTAGCATGGGGCTCCACCCTTGCTGCCGCTGTTGCGTGCTGTTGGTAATGCTTGCCGCTGCTGCCTGTTGTTGTTGCTGCTTGTGGCTGCATGGTGTTGCTGCTTGTGGCTGCATGGTGCTGCTGATTGCCAGTTCTGTTTGGTGCGTGCTGCTGCCAGCTGTCTGCTGCTGCTTACTGTTGCTGTGTGCTGCCGCTGCTGCTGCCTGCTTCGTGCTGCGTGCTGCTGCCGTTCACTACTGTTCCTTGATGCTGCAGGGTGCTGCGCTACTTCAGCTTGCTAACGCAATCTGCTGCAAGGAAAGGATGGAGGAGTTAGGATCGAAGAGATCGAGAAGGAAGGGGAGAGAAGCGAGGAGCGATCAGGCGGGGAGAGAAGGAGGAGCGAGGGGGGAAAAGGCGGGAGGGGCGAAGCACCGTCGGGGGTCTCGAGGGGCCTTCTGAAGGGAAACGGCTTCTCAAGACGTCTCTCAGGCGGCTTCTCTTCTTAGAGGCATCTTTGGGGCCTCCTTTGGGGGTTCGCCTGCTCCCATGGGGCCCTCCCGTGGCTCGTGGAGCCATCGGGGTGGCCCCTGGGCCCACCAGGGGGCGGCTTCGGATGGGGCCCACAAAGGCTCGGGTGGTGCCTTGAAGCCATCTTGGAGCGTTCCTGGGCCGCCTTGGGCCCGTCTTGGGACCGTCCTGGGCCCGTCTCGGGGCCATCTTGGGGCCCTGTTGCGCCTGCTTCGGGCCCCATCGGGGGTCCCCTCGGGCCGTCTTGGTCGATCTCGGGGGTTTCTCCGGCCATCCTGGTCGCCCCGAGACCCGAAGAAACGAGCAGGCGGACATTATTCGAAGACCTTGGGGAATCAATATTCGTTTTTCCTGGAGGCCCTGTCACGGGTCCTCTTGGAGGTGTCTGGCACTGGATCGGGGGGGGGGTCTTCGGAATGTACGCTCGGAGTTCTCCTCTTGGGGCCGTCCTGGGGACCTCCTCGACGATTCTGGGGGCCATCTCGGGGCCGTCTTGGGGCCCTCTTGGGGAGATGTCTGAAGCTTCTTTGGCCGTCTAGAACGTTCAGAGGCCAGACAAAGCGAATGTAAGAATACGCCCAGGGAAATCAACATAACTATATCAACACTTGCAGCTTCTGGATGCCCTCTTCGGGGGTTCCTTGGAGCCTTCTCGGGACATGTTCAAGGTCCTCTGGACCGTCGCTTTTTTCTCCCACGATGAAGACGCAGCAGCCCATGGCCCCTGAAGCGTGACCCGGGGGCGAAGAGCTCCCCTGACTTTCGGCGACAGCCGAACGTCTTATGTGCACTATGGTACCAGTCCTCTACACACCAGGGCCCCCTGGACCGTCGTGGGGCCCCCTCTTGGGCCAGGGCGGCGGCGCCCCTCGAGCGAGGCCGCGGAGGCGCAACACTTCTGCCACGCATGCATTTGCAGGTCACTTCTGGCACGCATCATGTCTGGTGCTGCAGTATGTTTGACGTTGGGCGCCAGCTTCGCCTCCCACATCTCGCCGAGCAGCGACAGTGCGTGTTGCCATTGCCCACCTTTTCTGCATATGCTCGCAACAGCAGTGCAGTGGCCTGGGGAGGGCTGCACACCCAACTGCACTCCTTCGCGGAGCAACTGCAGTGCTGCGTTCCATCGTTTTGTCCGGCCGCACTCCTTGATTGCCACTTCGAGTGAAACAGCACCTTCTCGAGACCGTCGAATGATGTCTTGCATCCGAGAAGAAGATGCATCACGGCGGCTTGATCACACTATGGCCTTGAGCCAAGTTGGCTTGAGCCCAGAAGGTGTCCTCCCTGCTGGTTGCTTGAACCGGCCAGGGGGCCGCCGTTCCCCGCTCCCTGGGGCTTCTCCGCCGCACCTGGCTGTGATGCGTGCGCCGACCCGGTGCGGTTAGCCCCCAGTAGCTTTGCCGCCTGCAGCCCCGCAGCCCAGCCTCACCAGCACAACTTGACTTCACCGCAGCATTTTGCTGCGCTGCGATTGCTGGCCTAGTCCAATTGCCGGCTGCACGCAGCCCCCCGGTGCCGCACCTGCAGCACCCTAACACCTGAGACGTTCCAGCGGACATCCAGATGCCACCCGCGTCCGTGGGCACGCTAGCTGCTCTTGCACTGCTTTGACTTGCTCCACGTTTTCACGCCCGCAGCCCCTGCCCGAGCTCCTGGGTGTGGCCGTGATGCCGCCCCGCGTCCACTGCCAGGGTGCCTCAGCACATGCTGGCCGCACCGGTCGCCCAAGATGTTCCTCTCCTTCCCGCCCTTCGCGGCCGTCCTCCTCCCCATTCCCCCCTGCCAGACAATTAGTGCCGTCTCTTAGCCCGACCCACAAGAGCGCGCGCGCGGACTGCCTTTGTCGCGCTGCGACGTAAAAACTGTAATCCGAAAGCCCTTATAACGGCGACGAGGCGACGATCGAAAGCAGTGCCCCGGCACTGCTTTGAACGCGTTCAAAGCAGTGCCCCGGCACTGCTTTGAACGTATGATATGATGATATGATGATGATTATGATTGATGATGATGATGATTTTTCCAGCGTACACTGTCCGCAACTGCGGCAATCAACATCATGCTCCACTTGCCCGCAACTGCGGCCATCACCAACGCTGCCCCTCGAAGCTCCACGGAGGGCGCTCGGCAGGTCGCCCGCTCGAGCCCCACTCGACTTCACGCTGAGGAGGCGAGCCCTCAGGGGCATTGTCCGCAACTGCGGCATGATCAGAGGGCCACCACTGCGCGCCATCAGCGCCCCATTCGCTCGAGCTCCAGTCCCACCAGGACCAGCCCTGCCATCTCGTGGCGGGACTGCGCGCCTCCCATGCGCCGCTGCCGCTGGCGTCCCAGGACCCAGCCGCCACTGCGGCACAAGAAGGGGTCGCATCGTCGCCGTTGGCAGCTTGCGGCGGTGGCGTGTTCCCAGCTCGCTCAGCCCCAGCGTCTCTCCCCGCAACTGCGGTTCCCATCTGGGGTCGGACGCCCTTCCCCGCAACTGCGGTGTCCGCGTAGCTGCCCTTCTTGCCGCCCTTCTTGCCGCCCTTCCTGCCGCCCTTCCTGCGTTCCAACCTCGCGGCGAGTCTTTCAGGTGACCTGCGGCACGTATTGTGCGTGAAAGCCACCAGAGGGAAGTGCGCTCCGTGCCTCGCCCTGCCGAAGGCGCCATGCCATATCTTGTCGTCGAGGTTGCCCTGCTTCACTCTGAAGGGATGGCGCACCCAATCGTCGCGTTCCCTGCGCGCCATCCTTTGCTCGAACTCCGCAACTGCGGTCAAGGATTCGCCAGATGGCGTCAGGAAGGCGCGCATCTTGTTTTCAACGGGCTCAGCCTTGGGCACGTAAGTCTGAAGCATCTTCCCAGGGCCATTCGTGTAGTCGAAGACAGGGAAAGACGGATCATGCTGGGTCGTCAAGAATCCGCCCTCACGGTCGTGCAGAACACTCAGGCCATGGTGAAGCTTGTACTGCCCAGGACAGTTTATGAACAAAATCGCCATGCTGTCTGCCCTGGGCTGGCCGCCTGCTGTCTTCCAGGGGGTCCACGCGGCGACGTCCACAGTCAGGCCGCAATTGCGGCACCAGGACACAAGCTGGAACATGCACATGTTGAAGTCCCCCATGCAGACCTTCACGTCCCATTCCCTGACGTAGGCGACGAACCAGTTGTAGAACTCATGGAGCTTCGTGACGCCCCAGTCTTGGTTGGCCAAGCTGTGGTGGACGTGCACCGCCATGACGTTGAAGGAGCCCCCCAAATGGGTCACGGCCTGGTCCAGGTGGACGCGCACCACCATCGCCCTGGAGTACTTGTTGTGCAGCTTTGGCGCAGGAGCCTCCGCAACTGCGGACTGTTTCTTCTTCTTCTTCGTTTTGGACTTCTCCTGCTTGTGGAAGAGTCTCGCAAAGTCTACGTGTTCAATGTGGCCGCCACTGCGGTCCCTCATGCCAACAAGGAGGGTCCCTGATGGCTCGCCGCCCTTAACGCACAGGTAGTTGTATTGAGTCCGACTCCGAAACCTATCGTCCGCAACTGCGGCTGCACTGTCCCTCGCGTCGTGCTCCCCACTGAGTACCGCGCAGGTCTCGTCGTCGCACTCGCAGAGGGCGATGATCTGGGCAGGGTTCGCGCGGAGCTGCGCCCACTCGTCCGCGCGTTGCGTGGGTCTAGCTGCAGTCCCTCCGAAGTTGGCCACGTAGAAGCCGACCCGTCCCGCTTCGAACTCCGTTTTCTCCTCCCATGCGTCGACAAGAGCTCTTTGTTTTTCCGACAGATTGCTTGTCTCGATGATGGGCACCCGTTTCCAGGGTCTCCGCGACGACAACACTCTCGGCATGTAGGAGTCATGTGCTGCCGCAACTGCGGCTCCCGCACCTCCCCGGGACTCAGCCTCGTCAGCGGAGGCAGCCGAGGACGCGACGGTGCTGTCGCCATCTTGCGTCCGCTGGTCGTCGTCATCATCCGCAACTGCGGCTTCCTCGTCTTTGCCTCCCTCCTCCTCCTCAGCGTTGTGGATGAACACCGTTCTGGCGAATCGAGGTCCACGGTCCATACTCCCTGAGGATGCGCTCGGGCGCGCGGGCGGCCACATGCTTGCGTCTTCGCGTGCGCCACCTCGAGCCACGGTGGCTACGGAAATGGATCGTGAATGGGCATGGGGTCGGATGGAGGGAGGAGACAAAGAGGATTCGAGGAGTGGCAGAAGGAGGGCGAGGACTCAAAGGAACCGAAAGAACAACAAATGGACTGGCGGAGAAGCAGAAGGAGGGCGACGATTGCAAGGGACTGTGAAAGGATTATTTTCACAGCAGCAGGAAGACCGCAACTGCGGTTTTGCCTCATCTCCTGCCCGCGCGGGAGCCGCTTGGAAAAACAACTTCCCTCTGGACTTCCTGTGGGTCCGCAACTGCGGCCTGCATCACGCTAGGGCTGGGATTACCAGCGCCATTTGCCCTCCCAGGGTTCTCACTGTTTCCGAATGCACGAACTGCGACAGCGCCGAACGGTTCCCAGACGCCGCGTCGTTCGCGACTTTTTGCAGC